GATTTATAAAAATCAATATGAGACATAAATATGAATTAATGTTACATTGATTAAGTATATTTAACAGCATTAATATCGTTTTGTAGTCTTTAATAGGGAAATTTAGAATATAGGAGCCAAGATATATCTTGAAATCTTGGATACTACTACATATTTGACCAGGAAGCCGCCAAGATGTGGGGTACCTCTGGACGAAGAGTCATCCTTCAGCACTCAGGAAAGGAAAAACCTCCTGTGGAGGAAACCTCTGGGGAACCATGGCTTGAAGGACTGCCCTTCCCTCTGAGCATTAAAAGGCAAATAGAGAGAGTTTAATAAATGCAGGGCTCACTCTATTATAATTTATTTAACTTGGCAGACAGACAAATATAGAGCGAAGAGATGGGCAGATATACAAAAAGACAGATTAAGAAAGTAGATTAAACAGAGATTGGGAGATGATGCTACCTGGAAAAAACAGCTACACACTAGGCAATTACTTATATGCCTTATCTGCAATCCACTCAACACAGCGCATGCATTGAATCAGTCCCCTGATAGAACCTTCATTGCTGAGATCAGATTGAGGGTAATAAAGCTCTAAGTCTTAAGACACATCCAAGTGAGGCATAGATTTCTATGCCATTGGAATGGTATAAGAACCATGAATACAGGTGCAGTTCTGTCAAGGCCTCAGTTATAACTGGAAAGAAATAGAATGTTGACGCAGTTACAGCAGCAGCTATGTTTTTGACAGCACTGCATGACATCATCTAATATGATTTAACTGCTAAGGATCACAGTTCCTGAAGTAGGGAATATCCCGGTTATTACAAACGTGTGTGATAAGCATGAAAAATAAGAGTATACAATCAGTACAAATTTTATATAAGAGTAAACTTTGCAATACCCTTTTCTTTTGCACCTTTTTTCCATCTTAGAAATGCCATTTTTGTCAGTATATCTAATGTCTCTTTCCAACCTAGTACTGGATCTATTCAATTGTCATCCTAAATGTGATATAATATAATCATATAGATAGAAACGCTTTAAAACCCTGAAGGGAAAAAAATAGGACTTAAATATATAAATTGGCTATCTATGATCCTCAAAATGACTAAATTGCTTCGTCCTTAAATGCACTACACCCCAAACAGATTACCCATACACAATATCAGAGAATATAAGTAATTGAAAATGGAACACGTAAAGACAATACACACCAATATGTGCAAAACCAACGTATAAAAACTGTTCATACTTATGCAATGAACATGATTTTCCCATTGTTCACAAAGGTCACTCAATCAGGTATCAATGGGGTTCCAATACACATGTATAAAATGCAGAATGAGTCTTTGAGGACTGATTATAAAAGCTTATGTGAGTGGCAACCTGCTAGCTGTTGTATACTCACCTACAGAAATCAGTAATAGGCTAGCATTTTCTTTTATGATTGATTTCACAAACAGGACTATACATAGGACACAAGGTTATGCATTTAGACTGGAAGAAAGAAGATTTAGTCAAAGGCAAAGGAAAGTTTGGATGTGGAATTCTCTGCCTGAAGAAGTGGTTTTATCAGAGTCCGTACAGATGTTTAAACAGCAACTAGGTGCTTACTTGCGAAAACATAATATTCAATGATAACATTTTTCAGCTGTAGGTTAATAGCTTCTTGATCCAAGGATAAATCTGACTGCCATTCTGGGGTCAAGAAGGATTTTTTTCCTAGCTTGTTGCAAAATTGGAAGTGCTTCAAACTTGCCTACATTTGGATCAACAGCAAAAAACTGATGTGAGAAAGGCTGGACTTGATGCTCACATGTCTTTTTTCAGCCTATGTAACTATGTAATTTAAATGTAATAAAAAAATAAATAAAAATTGGGTGAAATACAGTGATTGGTAAATTTCTGAAAGGGGCTGAGTGACTGCCTGAAAGTCAGTAATATGCAACAAATGAGCTGCTCTTTGTAGCTCTGAATGATGTAAATGTGAGTCCTATCATTTGCTCCAGGTGATGCAGTATAAATAGTTACACTATTAATTTGTTCTGTGTTTTCTTGTGTTTTTAAACATGTTCAGCAGGAATCCTATTAATGCTTTATTGAGTGATTTTTGTAAACAATGGGTGAATCATGTTTATTGCATTAGTATATACAATATGTTATGTGTTGGTCTGGCACATATTGGTGCATAGTGTATTTAAGTGCTCCACTTTGCATTACATGTCATCCTAAACCAGTTTCTCCTTTTTTCCCCACCCCCAGCCATACATTCATTTGCAGATTATATCCCCCTATTACTGTTTCTCAAAGAAGTGGAATAGGACATTTGTAGTGGCAAAGGTTTAAAAAAAACTATTTTTAGAGTACAGTTGCTAATGGTGAATACATCCCATTCTCTTCTTTCTAAATTGTTTATCCAGTAAATCACTGGAACCCAGACAGCACCTGATGGAGGGGAAAGAAGAAAAACCACAACATCCATTCATATATGTTTAATGTAAGACAGCTGAGCAATTTGGGAATATGAATTCTGGGACATAGCACCTTTTAGCGGCATCCTTTAGTTTGTACCAGGACGCTATGATGAAATGATAGAACACTGGATGAGAGAGTGCTATAATGTAGTGATAGTTTGTAGAGGCTACAATAAAGCTGCTTACTGCCCATTCCCTGCCCTTTCCAGTCACAAAAAGCAGCTCTCTGTCAGACTGGGTAGAGAGAAAAGAGGATCCTCTATCACAGTCCTTGAGGTCACTATACGGGGAATGACTGGTGGGATGTGGGAGCTCTGTAAAAACCTTCACCTAGAAATTGTGTCCCCTGGGCTGGTGGGCCCTTAGGGGACCCCCTGTGCTGCCAGCTCTATCTATAGCTTCCCCAAGGTAAGAAAGGCTAAAGAAAGGTCATTGCAGTATCCTCAGTTATCCTAAAAAAAAGGTATAAGACGGTTTAATTATTATTATTATTATTATTATTATTATTATTATTATATTTAATTAATATAGTAAAAACTAACAAACTATAACTCTGCCTTTATAAATTAATGTTAAGCCCCCAGTTTGAATGAGTACTGCAAACGTAGACAGCTGTTTTAAAGAAGGAAAAGTACAGAGGTGGGCCAGAAAAATAGTAAGGGATTACCTTTATTAATAAAAGATTAATACACAATTTTACTTATTAAGCAAGGCTAGAATAACTGCATTTGATCATATGAGGTCGGCAAAAACATGTTCATTGCAAGTACTCAAAAATTGTATCAGTGAAGACGACATCAATTGAGACTTAAAAAGAGGCAATTTTGCCTAAAGCACAGCAGAGACAAAATGAATCTCTACAGTAAGAACAATAAAAAGGACACTTCTCTGCCTGAAGAGGCTTTTTATTAGATCCTGTAAATACTAAAAAAAACTTTTTTAAAAAGCCAGAGAATATTAAAAGTTGTAGTAAATTATGTGGGTGGTAACTTTATGTTGATCCAAGGAAAACATGCTATTGCTATTAGTCCAATAAGGATTTTTATTTTTCCATTTTTGTGACCCAATTGGAAAACACTTTAAATCTTGGGCGTTACCTTCTTTTGGATCAATAATATGAATGGATGTGTGAAGGTTTAACTTGATGCAGTTTTTTTTTAACCTAGTTTTCTATATACAATTATGAAACGCCTTTTAACTCTTGCAATATCTAATTAAAATGTAAAATCAGTTAACAGCATTTGTGAGGACTGATTGGAGTCCTTGCTCTGTTAACCATCAGGAACTCGACTACCAATATATAAACTATATACTTTATTATAAAAAGAGAATTGTTGGAAAATCAAAGGGAAAGCAACAATAGTGAATCTGGAAGGATAGCTGACTTGGAGATGTTTTTGTTCCTGTTTGGCTATTTTGGCCTTTAATTTGTGTTTTTGTGTTTGATAAATTATTTTTTAAAGTGATTGATCTACAGAAGTTACCATTCTATGGGAAGTCTAGGGGACTTTTTGTACATAAATCACATGAAAAGTTTTTGGTCAAACAGATTGTGAAAATGGAGGCTCAACTCAGCAGAATTTCATTAGTGAAAACTCAATTTTGGAGAAAGAACCAAAAGGGAGTGAAAATATGCTTTAAAATAAATGCATTAAATTATATTTTATAATAATTAATTTGAATTATTATTAGCATTTATATAGCGCCAACAAATTCCCTAGCGCTTTACAATATTACAAGAGGAGATTTTTTTTTTTTAAATTCTATATTTTTGCTGTGCATATCGTTACAGACACGCTTGTCATGCCCCAAAAGAAGGTAACAAGCAGTAGAGTTTACAAAGCATATAAAAACATATAGGACATTTGACAGAACTTGCACATTTTTTAAAGGGTTTTGATTTTGCTAAAATCTCAGTAGGTTAGGCTGTGCTATCTCATGCTGCAGAAACAACAAGAAATAGGTAAACTGGTTTAACTGTGAGTTATACTAGGCATGATGCGTATAGCTAAACAGACTGACCCTTCCTGAGTAGCTATGCAGTATAGCTGGACTGGATTTCAGAGACAGCGCTTCTTTAAATCTAACATAACATTGCAGTCCTGTATATATGGGACTAGACCTGAGAGCAAACTGGGGATTCATGGACTAGTGGCAATCCACCACGGGGCAGAGTGAGATATGTATACATAATCATCTAGGTATATCGATTAAAAGGTAAAAAAAAAACAGAATAAACATAGTGAGCCTTTGCAACTGGTCATCTTGCCATGGAGTAGAGTGAACTATTCCCACTCAGCCTATTCCCATCAAGGGTAGTTTGTATCCCCACTGAAGTCCAACAGTTTACTGTTTCCCCTGATGAGTTGATGCAGCATTGTTGTGGTGAGGAGAATGGTTAAGCCTTGAGATACTGAGGTACTGTAAGCTATGGTTGGTCACTTTTTGTTGCCCATAGTCCCGGGTGGACATGTTTGGGTGCTTTCCTGCCATGTGACTGGTGGACCTTCTTCTTCCGTTTGATCCTGGTTCTTGCAGGGACCGCTGTCGCTCTCTTCTTCATGGTCCTGGGTGGTGGATCCCTATTCCAACTGCTTGTCGGCACATGGTGTGCAGATGTATCCGCTTGCTCAGCATGCTCCAGAATCGTGCGAAGGAGAGATCCAGCTTAGTGAGGGTATCGGCAGTGTTTTGGCTGGGAGCTTTAGCACACGTGGTGTCCGCCATTACAAGATAGTTCCGGAGTTTAGGATGCTTGATGTTGCCACTGCATCTGCTTGCAAGGTATTCGACTGGGTCTCTGGGGTAAGGATCGGGATCACCCCTGCCGATCCAAAGGGGACGGGACGGGACAGCAGCCGTACCGCCCGCCAGCCGCACTAGGCCGCACCGCGTCCTCCGTGGCTTGTGTTAGGTAGGGCCTGTCGTTGCAGGGTGTCAGCAAGTCACAAGTAGCCAAGAGATTAGTTCCCCAAGGGGCATAAAGCATGTGAAAGTCAGTGGCTAAACGTGGAGCTCCTGCAGAACGCGTCCAGCCACCATGCAGGTCATGCCCCACCACCCAAGAGGGGGAGATTTAAAAATAAATGAGACAATTACAAAAACTTACAGAAACAATAGGTTGAAGAGGACCCTGCTCAAACAAGAGTGCTGCCCTTTTGGAGAGAGCAGGGGACGGGTATGTGAGGTGGAGCTTATTCTCTTATGAGAGGCCATAAGCTTTTCTGAAGAGATGGGTTTTTAATATTAATATGATGTATATAGTTTGCAGTACAGAGAACAAAACATTTTCTCGTCATTTGGTTAACAGATCAAGTGAGAAAAGTGACCAACAGAGGGAAAAAGAGGAGGAACATTAAAAAGATCTTTATTTATATATTTATATAAAATTATAGTTAAACATATACAAGTATATATATTAAAGGAATACATATATTTATTAAATATATAATATATGTTGCTTATGTTTAATACATATACGGGAAGAATTCAGAATCACAAATCAAAACAAACCTGCTCAGCCATTGCGCAAGTCATTTGATTTGTGGTTTGGCTACATTTTGTCTCAGAGTTTGTCAATTCTTCAGATCATCAGTTTGGCCCAAATTCTGACAAATACAATTCAAAACAAAATGAATCTCCTCATCTAATGCTAATCAATAGCAATATTTACAGTGATATTCACTAAAATTAAAATTTAAAGGAAATTTAAGATTTAGGATCAAAGTAGCTCAACTGAAAGCATTTGGATCTGCCACGACTTTCCTCCGCAACCTCCGTTCCCTCGCTGCTCCGTCGGAGGTACACAGGTCCCTATGTATTCATCCTGTCTTCCATGTGTCATTATTGAAGACTCATGCACCAGACAGATTCTCTTCCCTAAATCCTCTGCCTCCAGGTCCCATTTAAGTTGACAGTGAAGAGGAATATGAGGTCGTCTCCAATATCTAGTTAATTGGAAAGCTTATGGCCCAGAAGGTCATGGGAGCCTTCCGTCCATGTTCATGCACCTTGTTTGATATGATCTTTGCATCTCAACAAGCCTGGACGTCCTGCTCGTTTACACCTCTAGAGGATGTGTTTTAGGAGAGGGTATTGTCACAACTTACCTCGCAACCTCTGTGTCCTATGTTCATCAGGTAGACATGCACTATCGTTCCACGCTGCTGGACAGCGCCACTGAATTTGATTAAAGCCCATACTCACCTCCATGGTTATGCAGCAGATAGACAGCCCCATACACCAATAGGGTGTTATGGAGGCTTGCTATGTAGATGTGCCTTTTGTATGGCACCATATTTAAACCTGCAACAGCTGAGCTTTCATTGCTCAGTTGTTCTGTGCTACCTTGCTATACTACCTGCGTTCCTGTTAATCTGTATTCCTATTTTACCTGACCTTGAAATGCACATGGTGTCCGCCATTACAAGATAGTTCCGGAGTTTGAACCTCTGATGCCTGGATTTGGACCTTTTGGATTGTTTGACCTTATTATTATAGCCATTTTTATAGCGCCAACAGATTCAGGTATGTGAGGTAGAGGTTAGTCTGGGAGGCCATAGGCTTTCCTAAAGGAATAGGTTTTAAGACACTTCTTAAACGATTGAAGACTAGGGGAGAGTCTGATGGCAGTAGGCAGGCCATTCCATAGGAAGGGAGCCGCCCATGAGAAGTCCTGCAAGCACGAGTTGGCAGTATGGGTGCGGACAGAAGAAGGTCACGGGAAGGGCGGAGAGACCAAGAAGGGGCGTACCTGTGGATCTGTGAGGAGATATAAGAGGGACTAAGCTTGTTCAGTGCTTTATAGGTATGGGTTAGCACTTTGAATTGACTCCTGCAGTATACAGGAAGCCAATGTAAGGACTGACAGGGGTGAAGTGTGAGAGGACCGACTAGAGAGGAAAATTAGTCTGGCGGCAGCATTCATTACAGACTGTAGTGGGGCAATACGGCTATTGGGAAGACCAATTAGGAGATAGTTACAATAGTCTATGCGAGAGATTACTAGAGCATGAACAAGCTCTTTAGTAGCATCTTGTGTAAGAAAGGGCTGGATGTGGGTGATGTTTTTAAGGTGGAATTGGCATGATTTGACAACAGACCGGATGTGAGGCTCAAAGGTGAGGCCAGAATCACAGTAGCACCAAGACAACGTGCTTGTAAGGATGGGCTGATATGGGTACCACCAATCTGAAGGGAGAGTGAAAGAGGAGGACTAATATTAGGAGGAGGAAAGACAAGAAGTTCTGTTTTGGAAAGATTCAGGTTCAGAAAGCGGAAATCAGAGATAGAAAAAAGGCAAGAGGTGACACATTGCAGGGCATCAGGGGAGAGGTCTGGGGAGGAGAGATATACCTGGGAGTCATCAGCGTACAGGTGGTATTGGAATCCAAATGAGATAATAAGTTTGCCAAGAGAGGCAGTGTAAAGAGAAAATAGAAGGGGACCAAGGACAGAGTCTTGGGGCACTCCAACTGAGACCGGACGAATGGTGGAGGTATCATCAGAAAAGGAGACACTAAATGAGCGTTGGGTGAGATAGGAGGGAAAACATGAGAGGACAAAGTCACAGAGACCAAGTGACTGAAGAGTTTGGAGACGGAGAACACGATCAATGGTGTCAAAGGCAGCAGAGAGATCAAGAAGAATTAGAATGGAGTTGTGACCTTGTTTCTGCCTTGCCCCTATTAGATTATACGCATCAGACTTTTGCTTTATTATTTTCTACTAATACAAGTACTGCATCCTTGAGTTCCATACAAGTTGTACTTGACATGACAACTGAGCCTAACATGGAACTCACAGACTTGGCTGAGGCTATGCAAACCATGGACCACTAGATGGGGGCACTAAGCCAATCCGTACAGGACCTGCAGCAGAGTCAAGTTCAATTGCACACACAGTCAAGAGAACTACGTGCCACACCACCTGCTGATCCTATGTCTACTGCCTTTTCAGATTAACTGCAGTCTCCTGAACCTGATGTACCCCTACCTGACAGATTTTCTGTGGATTGTGCTTTGTACCAGGGGTTTATAATGGACTGTATGCTGATGTTCGCAGTTAAACCCCGTACCTATTGCAACAATTATGTTAAAGTCAGGATTGTTATTTCGCTACTAGCTGGGGAGACATGCAAATGGGATCACCACCTACCATGAACATAGAGTCCCATCTGGGATTCTTTCTATGCTGCTGTTGATGTGTTATACAATGATCCTGATTGCCTTGTTAATGCCCAAGCCACAATCAGGGCTCTTAGACAAGGGAAGAAAACAGAAGCCAACACAACATAATTCAAGAGTATCACTTTTGAGACAAAGTGGAACGAGATAACACTGAAAGATCAATTCAGAATTAGTCTTAACGAAGCTCTCAAGGATGTGTTCGCAAGAGGGGGTATCCCCAATACACATTTGAGGACCTCATACAGGCTGCCATCCAACTAGACAGGCAATTCCTAAAACAAAGGCAAGAAAGAGCTGCTTCCTTGTCCTCCTTTGGGAGGCTCCCTGCGATATCCTCATTCTCGGTGGAAGTTCCTACACTTGCCATAGAAGAACCCATGCAAAACCGGGGTTACGAAAACATAACCCTTTTATCTGTTGGGCTAAAGGCATGGTATCCTTCACATCACCTCATTGTGAAACAAACTGCTTACCCAACAGAACTCCAGAAGTACATATCAATACCATTATCAACGTTCATAAAAAGAGTCCCATTGTCTTACATGAATTGACACTGCCCCCACATCAGACTTATGACTGTCCCGTTGACTTATTACTGGGAGCACCTATCCCTTTTGTACGCATATATCCTTTATCAGAACCTGAATTAAAAATACTGAAAGAGTACTTGAAAGAGAATCTAGAAAAGGGATTTATTCGTCCTTCAACTTCTCCTGCATTTGCCAGTATATTTTTTTGTTGGTAAACAAGACAGGGGTCTTCTCCTTTGTGTGGATTACCGAGAACATTACAGTAAAGAAACAATACCTGTTGCATCTCATTCCAGAACTCATGGAACGTCTTAAAATCACCTCTATCTACACAAAGCTAGATTTCCGAGGTGCATACAACTTGCTCAAAGTTAAAAGCAGGTATGAATGGAAAACCGCTTTCAGGACCAAATATGGTCATTTTGAATATCTGGTTATGCCCTATGGACTGTGTAATGCTCCTGCCACCTTCCAACACTTTGTCAATGATATATTTCATGACCTGTTAGACCAATTTGTGGTAGTATATCTGGACGATATTCTCATCTATTCCCCTGACCTTATAACCCATCGACTTCATGTACGAACTGTTCTTGACAGACTCTGCCAACACCACCTATATGCCAAACTTGAGAAATGTATATTTGAGACCACTAAGAATTTATTGGTTATGTTCTGACCCCTGGACAGCTGGAAATGGATCAAAGAAAAGTAGAAGCAATCTTGGAATGGCCTAGTCCTTTGAATAAAAAAGGGATACAGAGACATTTAGGATTTGCAAATTTCTATAGAAAATGTATCTGTAACTTCTCACGGCTGGTACAACCTTTAACTAAGCTGACAAAACTTCATAATACATTTGAATGGTCAAGAGAAGCACAAAAGGATTTTGATAATTTGAAACACCAGTTCACCACAACACCTATACTTATATTACCTGATCCTACAAAACCCTTCTACCTAGAAGTAGTTCTTTTGAAATCGCCACTGGGGCTGTATTATCACAAAGGGGTGAAAAAGATGGCCATCTACACCCAGTTGCTTTTTATTTTAAAGTCCTGCAGAAGCTAACTACGATATAGGAGATACAGAACTCCTAGTTATCAAACATGCTCTGGAAGAGTGGAGGCATCTGCTCAAAGGTTCCCCCATATTCTATAACCAT